CCACTGTTTAGGGTCCCCCCTAGACCGAGAAGATCAGACCCGCCCGGGTAAGGGCCCCGGGGCCTTTGTTAGGAAAGCCAGGACCCCAGCCCCCGGGGACAATAAGCGACACCCTTCCCGACTTCTCGCCCCGCCGTCCGGGGCTCCGGGCGGGTGGGAGAGGAGAGGGGGCCCGGCGGCGTCCCCGCTCTGCCCACTCTCGGTCTCGGAGAGTCGGCCTGTCCCGGCGCCGGGCCCTCCGGGCGGCCGCCCGGCTCTCCTCCCCCGTCGGTATGATGCAGCAGCAGTGCCGCAGGGACGGGGGACGAGCCGAGGCCCGGCCCCCTCCCCTCCCCAGCGCCCCTGGCTCGTCTGTCAGTCCCCACCCCACTCGAGGCCGGCGGCTCCCTCAACTCGCACCCACCGTTCCGAGGGGCCCCGGACTGTGGGCACTGTTTCCGAACCCTTTGGTGGGGATTCCTGGACTTTGGGGCTCTTGGAGAGACTTCCGGGCAGATCCGGAGGGAGGGAGGGTGGTTATCTCCGAGAAGAACAGGTAAGGGGAGTGCCCGCTCCTGGCATGTCAGCCCACGGGCTCTGCCCCTCCTGCTCGTGGTGGCGAGAAATGCCCCTGTAGCCCCAGGTTCCTGTGGGCTCTGCTCCCCTCCCAGAGTGGCAGGCTTATTTCACGGGAAGTCATTGGGGTGAAGGTGGTAGGGTCTTAGGGCCGTTCCTACTTCTGGTAGCAGTACCCCCCCAAGTGGACATCCTGGCTGAAAGCAGAGGTGACTCCGAGGAGAGCCTGGGGAAGGGGGGGATGCATTTAGGAGTCTGTGCAGTTCTTTGCCACACCCTGTGGGGCCTGAGAGTTCCTTCTCCTCCCCCTGCTGCATTGCACCATGGGTATCAAAGAGGGTTTTGAGTTTTGGGGACCTGGGGTGAGCTGCTGCCTCCTATAGACCCAGACTCTGATGAGCAGTAGAGCCAGGGCCTGAGTTAAGGCCTGGGAAGGACTAGGCCGTCTTTGGGTCAGGCCCTGAAGGACCATCCAGTCTCAGTGAGCCTAGGCCTTAGGGGGTATATCCTGATGCCAGGATTAAGCTCTGGGCACCGAGGTATGGAGGGGAGGTGGCAGTGTTCAGAGGTGCCTTGGACTCATACCAACACCCCCACCCCCATGTGTGCAGCCGTGTTGCCGCCCGCTGTGCTATGAGCAGTCAGAGCGCCGTCTCCACAAGAGTTTACAAATGAAAATGGAGGAAATGTCTTTGTCTGGCCTGGATAACAGCAAACTAGAGGTGAGGGCTCCCCCACGGGTGCCTCTAGTTCTTTCTCTTGATGTCTCTACGTTGTTGTAACTGACATCCAAACCAAAGAGGAATTTGGGTAGTCAGCCTTGTTCCTTAAAGGGAATAGGGCCAGCTGAAAAGGCCCAAGGATTCAGAAGAAAGAAGGCGAAGTCGAGATGGGGGAAATGGCAAAGAAAGCATTGTTTTTGGCCAGGGCCACTTGGCAAGAGGTTTGGTTGGTGAGGGTTGCTTTCAGTCCACGGGGCTGTGACTCTCGTGATGGTGGATGTTCTCCCCTACGCCCAGGCCATCGCTCAGGAGATATACGCTGACCTGGTCGAGGATTCTTGTTTGGGATTCTGCTTTGAGGTACACCGGGCTGTCAAGTGTGGCTACTTCTTCCTGGACGACACGGATCCTGATAGCATGAAGGATTTTGGTGAGCTTCAGGGTTGAAGGAGAGCAGTCCCGGTAGTGCGTGGAGGTTCCTCTGGAAGTCACATCACATGTAGAGCCTGGAGCTCCTGTGAGCTTAGGCAGGGAGTTGGAAGAGGCCATGGGTGGGAATGCCCGCCCTGATCGCCACGCCTCTCCTGTCCCCAGAGATCGTGGACCAGCCGGGGTTGGACATCTTTGGACAGGTTTTCAACCAGTGGAAGAGCAAGGAGTGTGTTTGCCCCAATTGCAGCCGCAGCATTGCCGCTTCCCGCTTTGCTCCCCATCTGGAGAAGTGCCTAGGAATGGGTCGGAACAGCAGCCGAATCGCCAACCGCCGGTGAGGGCTTCTCCTCCTGGTAAAACCAGAGCTGCTCATCATTTGCAGCTTGTAACATGGTGTAGTCCCTTGGGAGCATTTGTTAGGGTACAGAGGGTGGGTGGGTCATGCTTGGCCCCAGGTGCTCCACTATCTAGAGGTAAGAGAGAGGTGGCAGCCTTTGCCTTTCTCTTCCCTACCTTTGTCAGGATTGCCAATAGCAACAGCATGAACAAGTCTGAGAGTGACCAAGAGGATAATGATGACATCAATGACAACGACTGGTCCTATGGCTCAGAGAAAAAAGGTGTTTGGGGATCTGGGGAAACTTGGAGGGCATTGGGGGTAAGATGGGCCAGAGGGAATTGGGTAACAAAACTACATTTTGTTATCTTGAATGAGGGCAGAGAATGTAGTGTTGTACTTTTCTTTCGGTGCCCTTAGATTGGGAACTTAAAGTGACCCTGCCCTTTATCCTTTTGTCCTACACAGCCAAGAAGAGAAAATCAGACAAGGTGAGAGCCGGGGCAAGCATGAGGGAAATTTGGGCGAAGGACAGATACCCTCCCCTTTGGGCAGGGAGTCCTCGGGTATCTTGACTCAAGTCTGAGGTCATTGGGTACCTCTGGGTTCTGGGATGAGGGTGTCTGTGGTGGGCAGGAGGGCAGCAGAGGCCTTGGGAGGATGGGGGTGGAAATGGGTAGAAAGAGTAGAAATTTGAGGATGTTTCTTTGTCAAATCTTTTTTCCTTCCCTGGGTTCTCGGCTCCCCCTTATCGTTACCCTTTCCCCAAAGCTATGGTATCTCCCATTCCAGAACCCCAATTCCCCTCGAAGATCCAAGTCTTTAAAACACAAAAATGGTAAGTGGGGCTGTAATAACTTTAGTGATTCTAGCTGTGTTTTCTGGGATTCATTGCTGGGAGGTGGGAGGTGGGAGGCTTGGGGGATGGGTGTCGAGGGAGGGCCTGTGATCCTTCTGTCACCCCCACTTCCTCTCTGGTTATTTTCAGGGTTCTCTGTCTGTACCTCTGCATCAAACACCCTTCCCCTTCTTTTTTCTTCTTCAGGGGAACTTAGCAATTCGGATCCTTTTAAGGTGAGTGAGTAGGGGCTGCCCCTCTTAGGTTCCCTCTCATTTTCCTTGTTGTGGGTTGGGTGGGATTTAGACAAGTGGGGATCAGAATGCTGACAGCCAGAAGCGATCAATGGGGTATTTAGATCTTTATGTTCTTTCTGGGCCCCAGCCCCTTACCATGTGCAGGCGGGATGGAAGGAATTATTGAAAAACTGCTGGGAAGTCTTAAGCCTTCCTTACTGAGAAAGGGTTGAGAGGGACTGGTCTGCACCCCATCCCCACCCTCTTTTCTTTGGCTGCTGCTTCTCTAACCTGTACCTCTGGTTCTCCCCCAGTATAACAGCTCAACTGGGATCAGCTACGAGACCTTGGGACCGGAGGAGCTTCGTAGCCTGCTCACCACGGTGAGGAACCAGGGAAGGGGAGGCCTTTGGGAGTGGGCTGAAGCCACAGGCAGTGGTCAAGGCCCTGGAGAAAGCTGGTGACATAGCAATCAGGCCATATAGTTCTTTCTCTGGAATTGGGTTTCCTGGCCGATGGTGGTCTGGGACCGTCTGCTCTGGACACCTGGGGGCCATTTCTGCATGTGCAATCTAGCATTTATATAGAAGAAAACATCTAGTGTCTAGAGTAGGTTCTCCTCCATCCCTCCTTTCAGCTTATATTCCTCTTCCAGCAATGTGGGGTGATTTCTGAACACACCAAGAAGATGTGCACAAGGTGAGCTCAGAACCTAGAAAGGGGGCCAGGGGCCCTCCTGCACTCACCCTGGGCATGGGTTGGGAGTACCCCTGGACTTGAGCAATGGGACTCCCACCCTTCTCCTCCCTCCTCTAATGATCAGGCCTTAGGCCACAATCTGGGGGCTCTCTGTTCATCCCTTCCCTATTGTCCGCCCTCCCACCTCTGATGAGGGAGGGGCTTCACCTTAGACCCTTCCTGCCTTGTCAGGGTCTGATCATTCTCTCCCTACCAGGTCCCTCCGCTGCCCCCAGCATACGGATGAGCAGCGGCGAGCCGTGCGGATTTACTTCCTTGGACCCTCCGCGTAAGTGACCTTCCAAGAGGGGTTGTGGGTTTTGAAAGGTTAGGATAATTGGTGTCTGTAAAACTCTTCTCTGGCCCATTCCCTTTCCAGCGTCCTTCCAGAGGTCGAGAGTTCCCTGGATAATGACAGCTTTGACATGACTGACAGCCAGGCCCTGATCAGCCGGCTTCAGTGGGATGGCTCCTCTGACCTCTCACCCTCTGATTCAGGCTCCTCCAAGACGAGTGAGAATCAGGGGTGGGGTCTAGGTAGGTGATCCAGCTGGGTCCAAAGCAAAGGAGTGGGGGCATTTTGTGTTCTCCTGCTACAACCTTGCCCTCATTCCTTGTGCCTCTTTCTCTTCAGGTACCAACAGCTCTGAGTCACGGAAAACCAAGAAAAAGAAATCCCATCTGAGCCTGGTAGGGACTGCCTCCGGCCTGGGCTCTAACAAGAAGAAAAAGCCAAAGCCACCGGCACCCCCAACACCCAGCATCTACGATGACATCAACTGACTTGGGTGCAAGGGATAGCCTTTGGCTAAGCAGAGCCCTCTCTCCCGACCCCCACCCAGGTGGCATAGCCTGGCAAATGGACGGCTGTTGGGGGTCTGGGCTTGGGAAGCTTGGTGGGCCAGGCAGGCAGAGGATCCAATTATGCGCCCCTGGGGGGTGTCAGGATCCTCTGCGATGGAGTACGACCCTCGGCATGCAGGACTCAGACCTGGACATACTATGCCTTGGACATAAGTTTGGTGGGGAGGCGGTTTTCATATTTATTCTGTGAGTTACTGGATGTCCAGCTAGGCCAGGGGCCTGACCTGGGCACTCTGCCAGGGCACTGCCTGCCCCCAACCCAGGAACTGGACTAAGCCGTGCCGAGGAGCATTGTGGCTACCTGGGAGGCTGTGGGTTAGAAGCTGAGCCTGGAGGGGGCCTCCCGCAGCTGCCCTCAGCAATGTGAATGGGTCCGGTGCTTGGAGCTGAGGGGCAGGGCTGGGCATGTCCTGTCTGTGTGCAGAATCCTATCAAATGCCCCAAATCCCAGGGGTAGGCAGGCACAGTGAGCTGTCTGCTGAGGTAGGCGTCCAGAACTGCCGCTGCCTTCCCTGCCCCTCACAGGGGCAGCCCTTTCCCCTCAGTCCCCATGGGCCTCCTCAGCAGCAGGAGCTGTCCTTTTGTTGTTGGGTGCCAGGAAAGGGCCTCCAGCCTCTACAGCTTCAAAGACTGGGCAAGGGGAGGGAGGAAGAGGGAGCTGTGTATCAAAATGACTCCCCCTACCTTTTCTCCCTGATCCAGGGCTGGTGAGGAGTGGGGCCCCAAGGTGAGAGGGAACGGTGCTGCTTTATTTGAAATGTTTTCTTACCTCATTCCCTGCCCCAGGAAGGGGCTCAGCCTCACCCTCCTGGGGTGGCCCCATGTTCCTCCTGCCTACCCTGCCCCATTGGCCTTCCAGGGCAGCCCATGTTCCCAACTGCTGCTTGCTACCCCCTCTCTTTCACCTTGACCAGCTTCAGTTCCTCTCTCGATGCTCCTGCCTCCAAAGCCTGCCCTGTTTCCCCTTCCTTAGCCGCTTTTAAGTTATTTATTCTGTACTTGTGGTTTGGGGCTCTGAGGAAAATCCTGATCTTTTACCTCTTCCCCTTTGCTAGGAGTGGGGTGGGAAGAGGGTGGTCTCTGTGCTCTGGGTTATCAGTAGAGGGGAAGGGGTATCATGTCGAGGCATCGCCCTTCTGTGGACTGTCATGCCAGTGTGCCCGCCTACCTGGTCTACATCCTGAAGAGATGTACAATCCCACCTCCATGCAGGCACCATCATTCCCAGGAGCTGAGTTGGGGGAATGTAGACTGGGCTGGGAGCAGAGCTGACTGACACGGGTGGAGTTGACCCTAAGCCAAGTTCTCTGGCATTTGCTGGATGTGTCCCCTGCCCTCCTCCCAGGAGGAGTTATCCCACATTGGGTAGCTAGTACCCAGGACTTGTTGGACTGATTTGGGTTAGGGATCCTAGAGGGTTAAGGGAGCAACATAGATGGGGTTATAGTACCCTGTCTGGAACCCCAACCTCCCCCTGGGGTGGTTCTACTTGTGGCTGATGCCTGGTTGCAAATTTGTTTTTAACCCGAGAATTGTGATTATTTTTTAAGAAGCCAAACAAATTTTCAGGAGTTAGAATAAATTCTGGGGCCTGGGCTCCTCTGTTCTTGACACCCTACCCCCACCCCCCATTCCCCGCCCCCAGTCTTCTCCCTCTAAGGGGAAGCCAGAGGTAAAGGAGGATCTCAGCCAGCCTCCAGCCTGCTTCCAAATGACGTCCTGGAAGTAGGTTGAAGGTGAAGGGAGGAAGGCCAGGGGCCATTCTCCCTTCTGAGAGGCAGCTGCAGTTCAGGCCCTAATATACCCTTTCCCCTCTGGCCTCTCCCATTCTCCCCTTCTGGTTGGAGGAGAGAGAAGTGGGAAGTAGTTTGGGAACGGGTTTGTCCACATCCACTTCCCTATTGTTCCTCAGGCCGCCTTAGGACAGAGCCCCCTGCCCAGCCTGGGTGAGAGATGGGCTTGGTCCAACAGGGACCCTGAGAGAACAAATCCCTATCCCTTTCCTTCCCAGGAGAGTATGCCCCCCTACCATGTAGTTGAACAGGGGCTAAGAGCTCCCCAGTCCCCTCCCTCTAACAGCAGGCTGTGTGGGTTTCAATTCCCATCCTTCCCACCCTGGCTAGGTGTCGTCCACCCTGTATCCTATCATGTGTCTGAGTGTGTGTGGGGGGGTTCTGTACTAATTTCCATGGCCGGTGGCTTTTCCTTCCATGCATCACTCCCCCCCGCATGCCCAGGGGCCACCCGCCTGGCATTACCGCATGCTGGGGTCATTGGGGGAGGGGGGTGGGGGCTCACGCTGTCCTGTGGTCTTGAGATTTTTATTTTTGCATATGTAATCCATCTTGTACAGGTAGCTAACTTTGTAAACGCTGTGTATTTCCCCTGCCCCTCATGGCTGCTGGTGTAAATAAACTGCATCTCCCGTTGGTAGCTGGGCCTACCCACCCTCATTACCATGTTGCTGGAGGCAGAGCAAAGCCATTCTCTCAATGTCACAAAAGGAAGCTCCATAGCCACAAAATGGAACTTTATTCAGTCACAGACACTGGCCCTCCATCCAACAGCCCCAGAGACAAGGGCCCGGGGCACAGTGCTCCATACCCAGAGCTCCTTGGAGCTGGGCAGTGCAGGTCACTGGCTGAGAGCCAGAGCCGGTTCTTGCTTACAGCCTTAGGCCTAGGGTAGCAGCAGCTGTGGCTTGGCCTCTCCCAATGCTGGGGGCTTGGCTTTGTGCCCCAATCCCCTTCCTGACAGAGCTCTATAAAGGACTATTAAAAAAAAAAAAAAGAATACAAGCAAAGTGCTTTGAAAAAAGGGAGAACACTGGAAACTGTCCAGAACATGGAGAACACTCTATTCCTGCTACAGGGGTAGAGGGAGAAGGGAGAGGGCAGGGCAGCTAGGTGCCTATAGGACAAGCTGACACAACCTTCATTCCTGCCTGTGTGATTTCAGTCAGAAGATGGATATTCCACTAAACTGAAAGACACCCCAGGCTCCCTACAGAATTATGCTGGGGCCACGCTACACTGCCCTGGCAGGCGGCCCTGAATGCTGAGGAACAAACATGCAGGACAATGGGAAGAGTTAGGGTCACAGGAGGAAATCCTGAGCCCAGGCTCCCCACTGAGCTGGGCCACCAGGGTGGCTCTGAACTTCAGGACCCTAAAAAAGGAAGATGACACCCTCGTTTCTACCTGAGTTGTGCTTGCACAGAGGGGATCTCTCTACCCTCGTGGACATGAAGGAGAGGCCCCACACCGGCCTCCTTTGTCCTGTGGAAGAGGACCCAACATATCCTTTCCACCCCTCCCTCCCAGGCCCTTGGGCCCAGCTCTGGCCAGGAAAGGGGGAGGCTATAAAGGAGGAAGACCATGCCTTTCATTTTTCTCCCTATGTCCTTATCGTCCATACATCCCAAATACTAGGAAGCTGAAGAAGACAGTGACCCCAACCAGGGAGACAGTGGCAGGTGCTGTGAAGAACTGGCGGTAATTGATACGGAAGTACCAGACCACACCCAACAGCACCACAAACACAGGCACCATGAGGCTGCCCACACTGACACCGAGGCTGGGGGGCTCAGTGACTGAGGGGGCCAGGGAGGCTGAGGGGCCTGGAACAGCTGACCCTGGAGGTGAGCGGTGGCAGTGAATCACACAGTTGTTGGTAATGTTCAGGGAACGAAGTGTGCGGGCTGGGTCCTGCAGCAGGCGGCCCTGGTAGATCAGTTTCATCTGGCTCTCTTGTCCAGGGAAGTATTTACTGTTAAGATGAAAGAAGGAAAGAAGCAAGAATGAGAAGACACACAGGTCTGAACTAACAAAGCAGGGCAATGGGGAAAAAATTGGGGACATGGCTTATTAAAAGTCTCCCACTTTTCAGCTCACTCACCTCTTTAGTGTACCCACAGTATCTTCCGGCCTGGCCACAGCCAGCTCCTCCGTGTCATTGAGGAATTTGAGCCGCACATTGATGAGGCCAGGGCTGGAAAGCAGGCAGGTGCTATCCTCAGATCTCACAGGGGCTTCTGGACCGCTGCTCTCTGGGCCCACTTGTCTTTTGGGCAGGCCTTGGATGTCAAGCAGATGCTCAAGGTTGGGCTCAATACCACCTCCAGCTCCAGGATCCCCTGTAGAGTCTCTACCACCTTCTCCAGCCTCTTCAGCCTTCTCATCATTACCCTCTGATGGATGGGGGAGTTCATTTGGCTCTGGGGTGCCTTGGCCCGCCACCAGATGGTCCACATGCCCCAGGTGGAGGACGGATGTGTCGCCAGTTGACATAATAGTGCCTAGGAGCTGGTTGTTACTGCTGTCTGCTACGTAGGTAGAAAGCCAAGCTAGGACCAAGGCTAGAATCAGCACCACCACACCTGCCACCACAGTCACCTCATTACCCACACCCTCAATAAGGGTGACATCAGAGAGTCCCATGGCCTGGCTGCTGACGGGGTCCACACTGCAGGAACAAAGGGGGATAACATCAGCAGGGCCTGTGGGGTTGCAGCCAGGTTTCTTTTTATTTTTTTTAATCCTCATCCGAGGATATTTTTCCACTGATTTTTAGAGAGAGTGGAAGAGAGGAAAAGACAGAAACATCGATGTGAGAGAAACACATGAATTGGTTACCTCCTGCACGTGCCCCAACCCGGGCCCAGGCCAGGAAGGAGCCTACAACCGAGGTACGTGCCCTTGACTGGAATCGAACTCGGGACCCTTCGGTCCACAGGCTGACGCTCTATCCACTGAGCCAAACTGGCTAGGGCATAATCAGTTTCTAGTTCGTTTAGCTTCTAACTAACCCAGCCCTGAAAGAAAATGGAGCTCATTGTCCTGCAGAAGGGGAAACAAACCTTCCTAACTCTGAACTCCCAACCTAAAGCGAAGGACTTACCCTTTATCTCTATTGTGAAACTCAAGTTCCACACCCTTCCTCTCTCACAATCCAACCACCCAATGAACATGGATCATAAGGAAAACCTTACAGCTTTGTTGCTGTTGCAATTGCTTGTTGCTTTTTTGGTAGCTGGGGAAAACATTTGCTTCTTTGAGCCCTGAGTTTCTCTAGGACTTCTATCACTTAGTCAAGCAACTGTGCCTCTTTGAAGAGCCTCCACGATGGCCTCAGAGAGACCAAGTAGCCTATATTTTATTTTGGAGCCCATTTGGAGGCATACTGCAACCACTCTTGCCAGAGTACCTCATTTAAAACCCCATCTCAAAAAAAGAAAGAAAATAAAAGAACCTATCTTACGGTCACATATCTAGGTCTAGATGTCAAGAGCCAAAGAAAATCAATTTATCATCAAAAGCAGAGTCAGCCCAACCGATAGGCTCAGCGGTTGAGTGTCAACCCATGAATCAGGTGGTCACGGTCAGGGCACATGCCCAGGTTGCGGGCTCGATCCCCAGGAGCATGTAGGAGGCAGCCAATCGATGATTCTCTCATCACTGATGTTTCTCTCTCCCTTCCTCCCTCTGAAATCAATAAAAACATATTTTTTAAAAAGCCATAGTCAGATCTCCCCAAAGGGACAAAAGAGTCAGAAAACCCCACAGGCCCTACAGAGGGAGGTTATCAGCAAACACTATACAGTAGGCACTGTGTCTGCTTCCTATGAAACTTTCCTGGCAAGCTCTGGGGAGCAAAGTAGGACAGACCTCAGACATACCACCCGACTGGATCCCTACAGGCTCACAACTAAAATGCCACTACCAGAGTAGAACAGATTTGGAAAACTCCCCAAATAGCTGTCTCAATCCACACCTCAATCTCTTTTCCTATTGTGTAGGTTCTCCCTCAGCAGTTTCTTAGAAAGGCAAGGATCACGGTTTGCCCCTTGGAGTACCTACTCTTTCCCCTGGAGAATCTGCTGCTTTCACAGTTGTCCCTGGGCAAATCCAGTCTAATGACTATTCTCACAGCAACTATAAGACTCATATGCATCTATCTGTCCATCGCTCTCTGCTAGACTCCTGGAAGGCAAGGATTACATGGATTTCTCTAGGTGCCGTAGTGCCCAGCATGTCATAGTAGCTGCTCAAAAAATATGTGTGGAATGTATCAGCGTCTGCCCAGTTTCCACATTCTTATTTATACATGAGCCCTGGAGTCAGGGAAAAACCCACTAATTTATAATCCTGGTCTTGCCCCTTCCTAGCGCTGTAATTTCAGACAACTTTCTCAGAACCTCCACTTTCTCGTAAGTAAAATGGGGTTAAAAACAGTACCTACCTGCCCTGGCTGGGTGGCTCAGCTGGTTGGAGCGCCCTCCCTTACACCAGAAGGTTGTGGGTTCGATTCCCAGTCAGGGCACATAACTAGGTTGCAGGTCCGATCTCTGGTTGGGGCCGTAGGGGAGGCAACCCATCGATGTTCCTCTCGATGTTTCTTTCTCTTTCCCTTCCTCTCTCTCTAAAAATCAATAAAAACATATCCTCAGGTGAGGATTATTTTAAAAAAAACAACAAACCTGATCCCATTATTGCCCTGCTAAAAACAGTACCTACCTCATCAAGTTGTTTTAAAGATGACGGGAAATTATCGAAGCAAAATACTTAGCAGAGTGCCTGGCACAGGCACATTGCAACTGTTCAGTAAATAAATAGTAGTAATTATTTATCACTCCCACAACTAACCCCTGATGGTGAGAAGGTTAACGTCATTAACCCCGATTTACAGAAAAGGAAACTGTGGCGAAGAGGCGAAAAAGACAGGCACTGACACAGGAAACTTTCGTGGGCAGGGGGCCGGGCAGACCCGGGTCCTCCGCTCAGAAGCCTTCGCCCCCTGCTCAGCCGGGGAGCGACCCTGCCGGCCGGTGAGGGGGCGTCCCCTGCCTTTTCTCGAAGCGAAGGCTCCGCGTTTGCGCGGTCCTATTCCCGCGGCACTGGAGAGGGTTCCGCGGGCCCACCCGAGCCGAAAGGTTGCCTGGTCCCAGCCGCCGAGCCCAAGCCCACGTCTCCTGGCCGGTGAGGGGCAAAATCGGGTGAGTGGGTCACAAACCATCCACACCCCTCAAACTTCGGGGCGGGGCCGGGGGGCTGGGGGCGGGGCTTGTGTACGCGGGGAGTCATGGGAAATTAAGAAGGGATTGGACCGGTACTGTGCCAAGATAGGGAAAGAGGACCTCACCTGAAACGGCCAGACCAAGTATTCTGACTTCTCTAGGGCGGCCGATAGACTCACCTTTCCGTAGGGGCCGGGGAAGGGACTGGCTACCCCCGATTCTGTCCAGGGTCCAGTCTCTTCCGGCTTCTCCCGGAAGCTGTTAGAACCAGAGACAGGAAGTCCCGCCTCCTCGCCTTGCACTGATGACGCAAAAGCTACGTAAGGCGGGCTGGCGTAAACGTATTCTTTAAAAGGGACAGGTTTCTCAGCGGAAGGAGGGGCGGAGTCATTGTTAGCGGGATCTTGGCCCTCCCGAGGCAGGGCCACGCCTAGTGGGCGGGGTCCGAGGAGCCCTGGGTTGAGGGGTGGGGTCAGGAGGGAGTTGGGGGCGGTGCTTGATCGGGGGCGTGGTTTCGGGTCTGGCAGATTGAGCAGGCTGGCACCGCTGGGCGGAACCGAGCAGCACTTCCCTCTTTCCAATCTTGTTCTTCCGGCCCTGCTCCTAGCCTCCCTGTCTGGTAGGATTTATTACTGTTCCGGGTTAGCGGGATCGGTAAGGTCTGGTCTCTCTGAGTTCCAACAATTCAGGGCTAATCGGGAGACAAACAGGGAGATCAGTTACTATCCGGTGCTCCGAGAATGCGGCCTCAGGTAGCGTGGGACTTGGGTAAATTATGCAAGAAAGCATTTCAAAGAAGACACAGATTCAGGGGAGGTTTAGAACATAAGAAATGCGGGAGCCCAAGAAAAGGTTCAGCTTCCAAGAACTTACCCAGATTTTTGCAATTAAATTTTTTTCTAAAGATCTGCTGGGGTTTTTTGTTTTCTGGTGAACAATTTATTAAAGTATAAATAATGCGAACAGGGGCAAAATCATAAGCGAAGAGCTCAGGTAATTTTCGCCAACAGAACACACTGGTGGAACTAGCATTTGGATCAAAAAATAGAAAATGGCCCATCTGTGTGGCTCAATGGTTGATCTTCAATCTATGAACCAGGAGGTCACAGTTTGATTCCCAAAGTACATGTCCCAGTTGTGGTTGCGGGCTCCATCCCAGTAGGGGGCGTGCATGAGGCAGCTGATCTCTCCCTCTCCCTTCCTCTCAGAAATAAAAAAATATTTTTTAAAAATACTCCCGCCGCTTGCCGGAACCCGGTTTGGCTCAGTGGATAGAGCGTCGGCTTGCGGACTGAAAGGTCCCAGGTTCGATTCCGGTCAGGGGCATGTACCTTGGTTGCGGGCACGTCCCCAGTGGAGATGTGCAGGAGGCAGCTGATCGATGTTTCTCTCTCAGTTGTGGTTGCGGGCTCCATCCCAGTAGGGGGCGTGCATGAGGCAGCTGATCTCTCCCTCTCCCTTCCTCTCAGAAATAAAAAAATATTTTTTAAAAATACTCCCGCCATTAGAAAAAAATTTTCCCCCAACCTAGTGGAGTATCATATTACTGTTTTAATTTGCACTTCCCTGATCGCTGATGATATTGAGTATCATTCATTTACTTAACAGATATTTGAGTGTTCACTCTCTGCTAGGCACTATAGAGACACCACATCAACACTGGTAATAAAACAGATGTTTTTCTTTCTCTCACAGATCAAGGGAATAAAATCTTTTAGCTGTAGTACATTTTCCAATATTTTGCCTTTTAGTTGTATTTATGACTTGGTGTTTTCATTAAGCTTTGTCTGTATCCATATATATTAATCTTTTCTTTTGTGCTTTTGCCCTACCCCTAAATAATATACATATTCACATGTGTCTTTCATTTTATTTATTTTTTAAAATATATTTTATTGATTTTTTACAGCGAGGAAGGGAGAGGGATAGAGAGTCAGAAATATCAATGAGAGAGAAACATCAATCAGCTGCCTCCTGCACACCCCCTACTGGGGATGTGCCCACAACCCAGGTACATGCCCTTGACTGGAATCGAACCTGGGACCCTTCAGTCCACAGGTCGACGCTCTATCCACTGAGCCAAACCCGTTAGGGCTCTTTTGTTTTATTTAAACAGATATCTTGTAGTTGTAGATATAACAGGAAAAGCTGAGCTCAGTGGGGACAGCCTGCTGTGAGAGGGTGGACAACTCAGCATCCTACCCTTAGAAGGAGGCTCCTAGCGTGGGCCCAGGACTAAAGAGGATTTCACTCTCTCCTCTTGGGCCTTTGGCTCTGTGAAAATGTCAAGAAAGGAAAGATTGTTGCTCTACTGCTCTACATAAGGAGGTAAAAGGCTGTCTTTGTGTTGGTCAAAGGGCATCTCTGCGGATACAACTCCACAGAGGAGAGGAGCCTGGGCAACCGCTGCAGGAAGCCAACTCTAGGACTCCTGACTTGTCTTTACCACATGACTCCAAATGGGAATGGCACTGGGGATCCCAGGGCCCCTCCTCAGTTCCCTCCCACAGTGGGTACTTTAGGCTCAGGGGCTGGGATGGGGTCTTGTGTTGTTCTTATGCTCTTTTTGCTATCACAAGAGTAACAGCTGCTCAGTGCAGAAAATTTGGGAACCATGGAAGAGGACAAAGTGGGGGAAACAAACATGGAGTGATAGGTAGCTCAGTCTCATTTCAGCCTAACAACATTCACACATGGGTACTGTGCACAAATCATTTATTTGCGTTCATAAAAACTAGCTTGGCTTGGAAAGCTTCCTCTTAAAGATGGTGGTACATTTGACTCTGGAACCAGAGGAGGAAGTGAGAGAGGGGGGGGACAGCTGGTGGCTGGTCCTCTGGTCACAGACCCTCAGAGATCACAAGTGTGGTGACCACTGTTTAAGACACGATGCATCCCTGGGGGGTGTGGGGGGAGAGCACAATGCAGCCATAAATCGGTCCCAGGCATCATGTATCTATTCCTCCAAAAACCATTTACTGAAATACCTGTTCAAGTCTACTTGAGGCAGACACAGGCTCTTAAATAGGTATGATACCACCGGCCAGTTTGGCTCAGTGGTTGAGCATCAACCTATGAACCAGGAGGTCATGGCTTGATTCCCGGTCAGGACATATGCCTGGGTCACGGACTTGCTCTCCATTGTGGGGTGTGCAGGAGGCAGCTGATTAATGATTCTCTCTTATCATTGATGTTTATTTCTCTCTTTCCCTCTTTCTTCCTTTCTGAAATCAATAAAAATATATATATTTTAAAATAGATATGATACCAAGGAAGGCTACCTGCTAGGTTGATCAAACAGTGCTATTGAGTTGTCTTGAGGATATCAGCTTCAATCAGGGGAAGAAAAACAAAGGTGGGAAGGGTATGTCAAGGAGGGGGAACACCTGGGAACACAGAATTTCAAGAGCATGGGTTTCAAGTCCAGTGAGGTCTTCCCTTCAAATGACAATTTGGGCAGAGGCAGTACAACTAGCAGCAGTCTATCATTCTTTATAGGAAACTGATTTCAGATACATCGGTGGCAGAAGATGAGGGGTTACAACAACAATCACCACCTCCGGGCTTGAGGCATCATCCACTTAGGCCAAGAGGATGAGATGGCTGCGGTCTGAGTCTGCAGACCTTTCCCTCAAAGAGAGGAGCTGAAGCTCAGGTAAGGTTGGTCAGCAGTTGTCTCAAGGAGTCAGTGGAGGGAGGTGGAGTATAAACAGAGGCCCAGGGTCTGGTCGTCCAGGGTTGGGGCGGGGGGAGTACGATGGATGGAGAAAGCAGGACCAGCTGTGGGGGCAGCCTGGCCTGGTGCTCACTGGATGCGTCCCTCCACACGCAGCAGCAGGTAGTCCCTGAGGAGCTGGGGCAGGGGGAGGCGGTCGGCAGCCTGTCGGCAGCGGTTGCCCAACTGAGCACGCACAGCCAGCCGGGCCAGGTGCTGCAGCCGCCTCGGCTGGTTCACCATGGCCAGGGCCGAGCTGTAGAAGGCTTCATGCTCCTAGGCCATGAGTGGAACAGGGTCAGATGGCCCAATGCCCTTAATTCTGCCCTTCCCACTGGGGGCTACCTAGTGGTAGGGCTCTAGGATTTTGCAACATGTAAAATTTGGTGCATCCTGAAGGACTCAGATTCAGAGCTGGAGAGGCCCTGCAGGAATCATGGGAGTTGGGACCACACTGCTGAGCCCTGACTCCGCCACGTCTGCACCCATCCCCACTCCAAAGGTGCTGGCACGGTGCACATTGAGTCAGAGATGCCTAAGAAATGTCTGTGCTGATGCAGGTGAGAGAGAGGCTGGAGAGGGGTGTGGAATGAGAGGTTGCTCTGAGCTGCTAGCGGGTAGAGGGAACCTAGAATTCAGGGGTTTCACTCTGCCTGTCCTCCTCCAGCCCAGGGGCCCTCCTGACCCTCCCTCCGGATTCCCATTCTGGAGGGATAGGCCTAGGGCCCAACCTTTCTTTCCATCTCCCCCCCCCCCCCCGAGTCCAGGATGGATCTGTGCCCCTGGGGTGGACATACCTGCCACAGCTCCTCCACCCAGGTATCACAGGATGGGACACAAGGGTAGGCATTAAGTAGGACTTCTAGTGCCCGAGGGAGGTTGGCACAGTGTTTCAGCATCTAGGAATCAAAAGAGGGACTCAGGGGCACCATGCCTCTCCCAGCCAGGGGCAGATCCAAATCCAGAGACTACGGTCGGAGTCTCTCCTCATACTTTCCCATGCGCAGTTCACCTTGCCCTCAAGGTTGCTCCACAACCTCCTGGCCCCAGCTAGCTTCCTTGGGACCTCTTTTCTCCTTTGCACAACTTCCCCCATAGCCCCCACTGGTCTTTTCCAAGATGGGGACAGACCTCTGGCCACAAAAGGTGGCTCGCAGTCTCTGGGCCCCCTCTCTTCCGCTGCGTGGGGCAAGTCCACAGGCACAATCCCCCCACCCAACTGGACCCTCCCTTCACAGGCTCTCCCTACGCACCTCAGGGTGCACTGGCTGGGCCCCGTAGTCCAGCAGTGCCCCGAAGAGGACCTCGGGCTCCCAGTTGGGGGTGTCCTGGACTGCCTGCAGCACGCAGTCCATGGGCGTGTGGCCCGCTGCGTTGGAGACTCCAGCGCAGGCCCCGTGGCGCAGCAGGAGCTCGGCCAGGGCCCCGCAGCCGTTGGCACAGGCGTTGTGCAGGGGTGTGTGGCGCTTGCGCCCGGCCGCACGGGCATCAGCCCCAGCTTCCAGGAGCTGGCGCGCCACAGCCTGGTGCCTCCGGCCATTGCCGGGGGCCCTCGGCCCCCGCGCAAGCAGCGTTCAGCGCCGTCTCACCCTGGCTGGTGCGCAGCCCCACGTCGGCTCCATGCGCCAAGTAGAGAGCCACGTGCTCCTCCAGGCCGCGGGCCGCCGCCACATGCAGGGGTGTCATCTCGCTGTCCCTCGCAGCCGCATTGACAGTAGCTCCTGCCTCCAGCAGCAGCTTAGCGCACCTGGGGGCAGGGCACAAGGCACCAAGGCAAATCCTGAGGGGCCAAGGCCTGGCCTGAGAACCCCTCTGTCATCCCTTACCCCCTTTCTTCCCACCCCCTGCACCTGAAGGTGAACCTGGTGTCCACCGTCAGACCCACAGGGGGCCCCTGACAGACGGAAGAGCTGGAAGGCCCATGGACGTCACCAGGCACGTCTTCAGTTTTCACGTGAAAAACCAGCCCAGAAAGAACTCAGTGCAGCCAAGGACACAGCACGCTAGTGGCTACCTGGGATCCGGTACTCACTGCCTCAACAGTCCCTCTAAGTCTAACCTGACTCCCCAGTCCCACCGGGAGCTCAAGGCCTGGTTCTGAGTCATTTGTGAGTGTAGAGCACACATAACAAAATGGAAAACCCACGGCTGTGTACACTATGAAACACAGAAAATTAATGAGTGTGAGTCCAAAAGAAAAAGTAGAAACCCTAATATTTTCTTCCTGCCTCCCAACCTGAAGACCACCCTTCCAGACCAGCCACACCCACTCCAACAAAAGAAGGCACTTGGGGACCCACCTACCCCACACTCCTCTAAGCAGCGGTTCTCAATCTGTGGGTCACGACCCCTGAAAATACATCCTGCATATCAGATATTTACATTACAATCGATTCATAACAGTAGCAAAATTACAGTTATGAAGTAGCAACGAAAATAATTTTATGGTTGGGGGTCACCACAACATGAGGAACTGTATTAAAGGGTCCCAGCATTAGGAAGGTTGAGAACCACTGCTAGCCCGGCCTGTGTGGCTCAATGGTTAACTGTCAACCTATAAACTAGGTGGTCACGGTTCGATTCCCGGTCAGGGCACATGCCCAGGTTGTGGGCTCGATCAATGATTCTCTCTCATCATTGATGCCTCTATCTCTCTCTCCCTCTCCCTTCCTCTCTGAAATCAATGAAAATATATTTAAAAACAAACAAGCAAACAGAACCAGACAACAAAAAGCAGATTTTAGGAAGCGCACATTTTTCAGTCTTCTAGTTCCTGGAAAAAATTATAGGCCAGAACACCGTACAGGCAAATATTCATTATCAACCACCGTGGGGTAAACCAAATACACAACAAACAAAATTAATGATGAAACTACTCTAAGAGTAATTTAGAATTTAAAAGCCTGAATGGAAACCACTGGAACTCAGGAGCAGATCCATCAACTCCAATGAAACCCTGATGACCAAGTGTCCTTCCCCCAGATTTCAGCTCTCTGTCAGTGCACATGCTCAGTAGGCACATGCTCAGTGACCAAGAGTTGAGTAGCAGCCAGTCATCCATAACTACTGAATTTATTTCCTCGGTAAATTTAATCATGGGCTAAATTTTGTTTCCAAATACTAAATTTAACACTGAAAAGCTCACTCAGTAGGATTTCAGTAAGTGAAACTATTTTCATTTCTTTTAAAAGGATAAAGTCTGCTGGAAAGTGTACCACGTGCCCATAAGAACTCAAGAAAGAGCGGGAGAATTTGGATCGCTCTGGATCCATCACTGATCTAGAGCTAAGCAGGAGAGAGGTTCCCAGCATGTGGGCCATAGAGTGTCTCCTAGGAGCCCTTGAGTTTGTTGTTGTTTTTTTTTAAATTAATTTCAGAGAGGAAGGGAGAGGGAGAGAGATAGAAACATCAGTGATGAGAGAGAATCATTGATCAGCTGCCTCCTGCATGCCCCCAACTGGAGATCGAGCCCACAACCCGGGCATGTGCCCTTGACCAGAATTGAATCCGGGACCCTTCAGTCCACAGGCCGATGCCCTGTCCGCTGAGCCAAACTGGCCAGGGCTAGATCTTTCTTGATGCCTACCTCAAAACAGCTCAGAATTTGGCTACAGTGGGTTCACAAGGAATAAGAGACTGTAGTTGGAACAGGGTTGTCCCAAAAAGCAACAGGGCTTTTGCCTTCAGGGCTTAGCTGATGTGATCCTGGACAAGTCACTAAACCTTTTGGAGGCTCAGTTTTCTCACCTGTAGAATGAGACCTGTCTCCTAGGTTGTTGTGAGGACATACGTATATGAGGTGCTTCCCCTTTTTCCAGGCCTTGAGCTTCACACACACACACACACACCCTCCCCAAACCATCCCAAACCCTGAGCACCTACTGTAAGGACTCAGGCGCTGTACAGAGGTGCAAGGGGGTTGTGCCTTCCTCAGACAACACATTGGCTTTGGCACCGAAAGGTCAGCAGCAGCCGCACACAGTCCGAGTGGGCTTGGGCACATGCCTCGTGCAAGGCAGCCCGGCCCCCAACCCGGGCATCCAGCTCAGCTCCCTGCCGGATGAGGTGGCGGGCACAGTCGGTATAGCCTCGGGCCGCAGCAATAGTGAGGGGCACTGTCTGCTTGGTCTTGGGGGTCAGTACCCAGAACCCTGTGGAGAGCAGACATATTGGGGGGGTGAGACCCGAAAGCAGGGCAGGCGGTGGTAAACAGCTGATGCTAGTTTTCCTGCTCTACCCCTGGCTGAGGACAAGCTCTGTGCCAGGTTGTACCTGTGGAGAGGGGCTCACTCAAGCCCTGATTTGGGAGTAAATCAGAACAGCCTTTTAGAACAATTTGTCAGTCTGTAACAAAGCAGAGTATGTGTGTCATAGAAAAAAAATAATTGCTCTTTAAAACCATAAGGGCAACTAAGGAGGGTGAGTTCTGTGAAGGGAACATCTGGGTCTTTGAGCTGCTGATGGAGTTCTTGCCTCTTTTGGTTCACTTGGGGCTCTGGCGTTGGGGATGGGGGAGTTATGAACAGGAGGTCCTGGAGCTGAGCCTGGGGGTGGCCAGTGAGCAGAGCTGAAGGAGCCACGGGTTTGGAGTTCTGGGACACTTCTGGGGGGGGGGGGGATGGTGGGCATGAAAGTGAGGGTAGAAGCAAGGGGGGAGGGGGAGGGGAGAGGGAGAGGTGGGGATGGGGAAAGGAAGAGTGGGGAGAGTTTGTTCATGGGACTGGTGTTGGATCCAATTGTAGAAATGGCCAAGGACTTGTCTAAAGGACATAGATGCCTAATACCCAACAGTAAGTTATTATGGATTATGGTGAAGTAAGTCCTGGGTTTCCCAACGCTTGGATAGAGCATGCCTTATTTATTATTAGAATTTAAATAAGGCCAAGTCCCATTTGAGGGATGATGGACATGCTGCAGGATGAGACAGGGATGCCCTGGGCAGGGTCACATCTCTATTAGTTGAAGCCAAACAGGAATTTGGAGCCTGTGGTGACTGTGAGAACATATGCTCGCCAAGGATTTTGAACCACAAATCCATGGGTGGGGTTGGAGGCAATCTCTTTTTTTTTATTTCAACTTCCTTCCTTCCTTCCTCCCTCCCTTCCTTCCTTCCTTCCTTCCTTCCTTCCTTCCTTCCTTCCTTCCTTCCTTCTTTCCATTCTTTATTTCTTGAGAGAAACATCAATTTGTTTTCCATTTATTTATGCATTCATTGGTTTATTCTTGTATGTGCCCTGACTGGGGATTGAACCCAAAATATTGGCATATGGGGATGAGGTTCTAACCAACTGAGCTACCCGGCCAGGATGGAGGCAATCTCTTGTCACTCAAACAGGGCAATTTCAATTGAGGTATTTGGTTTACAGGGGACAAACTCTCTGGTCAGAATAGATCCTGATCTCGCTTGAAAATCAGCTGGCAAGTACACAAAGATGTTCATCATATTGCTATTTAAAATAGTCTTTACAAAAAGGAACCCAGCCCGGCTGGTGTGACTCAGTGGTTAAGCATTGACCTATGAACCGAAGGTCACCGTTCGATTCCCGGTTGTGAGCTCAATCCCCAGTAGGGGACATGCAGGAGGCGGCCAATCAATGATTCTCTCTCATCATTGATGTTTCTTTCTCTCTCTCCCTCTCTCTTCCTCTCTGAAGTCAATAAAATATATTTTTAAAAATCATTAAAAACATATTTTAAAAAAAGGAACCCAATCTCTCCAATCTATTTGGGGGCTAGTTATATAAATCATGGCATCCCCATACAGGAGAATTTATGCCCCTGTATAACATATTATGTTGACTTATGGTTATTGACATGTTATATGAAAACATCAGGTTAAAAATAGCATGTGGATTATAATTTCATTCTGTGGAAGAAAAAGATTCGTGTGTGAATATATATTCATAAAAATTGCATAAGAATATATTGTATTCTTATGTAATATGTTAATATAACTAATTTTGATAAAACATACAAACCACTAACCATGCCTCATTGCTGTTTAGCAGGGAACTGGAATGGGCAGTGGGAAAGGATAGCATAGTTCATGGTCTGGAGGGAGGGGTTGGGGCTGAGACGGTCCCCCCTCTCCCCACCCCCACCACTTCCCTCTTCCTCCTCTTCTGCCCACACCTGCTGCTCCCTACCCTGTTCAGGCGACCAGGCCAGCTGGTTGCTCTCAGTCTCCACAATCATGTTGGCGGCATCTTCGTCTTGGAACAGGGCTTGGACCTGTTGCAGGTTGCCGGAGAACAGGGCATTGTGGACCGCTGGGTCTCGGCAGGAGCGGCGAGGCCTAGTGAGTCGGGCCAGAGAACTTGGGGGGCACCTTTGGCTCCGGCAGAGCTGGGCTGCTGCCCTGCGCCTGTCCTCCCACTCCAGCCACTCCCGCTGCAGGCGGAGAGCGCGCAGCGTGGCAGAGGTAAAGGGGAAGGTCCCTTCTGCCATGGGAAGGGGCCTGGGGTCTGGTTAGCGGCAGGTGGGCAGAGCCCAGTGACTACCACCCTTGCTGTGAGGAGCCACCCTGCCCCCTCCCCCGTGGCCCAGAGAGCGCAGCAGCTGAGACTATAAATAGACCCTGGGATCTCTGGTAAACACGGTTTGCCCAGAGTCCTGATCCTGGTGCAGAGGTGTTGGGCCAACCCCTCACCCACCCCGGGGTAGGGCCAGCCCCTGCCCCTGCCCCTGCCCCTGCTGATACCCTCCAATTGGGCAGCAGGCCCTCAAACAAGGCCATCCCTGCACCCCAGGGTCCACATCCTCCCATCTCTTAGGAGTGAGCACCTTGGGTTGGCAAGGTCTGAGGTGACAGCGAAGACAGTTGTGAGCCTCTCCCCACCCTCGTAGCAGGGACAACATGGTCTATAGCAGGGGTCCTCAAACTTTTTAAACAGGGGGCCAGTTCACTGTCCCTCAGACCGTTGGAGGGCCGGACTATAGTTTAAAAAAAAAACTATGAACAAATTCCTATGCACACTGCACGTATTTTATTTTGAAGTAAAAAAAACAAAACGGGAACAAATACAATATTTGTATTTGCATGTGGCCCGCGGGCCGTAGTTTCAGGACCCCTGGTCTATAGAAACTACCTTCAGTGAGTCCCCCCACCCCACCCCACCTCACCCCAGCTCCTGAAAGGGCTCACATGCCTGCCTAAGGGCCAAGGGCTTGACCTTGCAACTCTGGGGGCTCCAGACCAATGACACCTGTAAGCCAGGAACCTATTCACTCTCAGGAGAAAGTTGCTCTGCTTCCCGGAGCCTCTAGGGGGAGGACTGAGGCCTTGAAATAACATTCGCTGATGCGGTGGCAAAGCCAGGCAAGGGGAGGCAGGAGGGGTGCCAGTCCCTGCATCAGAAGGGCTCCTCAGCAGCGCAGCTGCAGGCGGGCTGGCCTAGCCCCAACCTGCCTTGGCTGCCGTGGCTAGTCTGCCTCCTCGGCACTGTAGGCTCCTTCCGGCTCCTCTGCCCCTGCACTGCCTCCCCTCCCTGGTTCGGCAGCAGCCCTTGCTCAGTCATCTCTGACTCTTCCTCTCCCTGGTCCCCTCACACAAAGGAGTTCCAGCTCCCATCCCCACATGGTCAGTCACCATCTCCATGTCTTTAACCTGGGCCAGCCCAGCCTCCTACCAGGTGCGTCTTCCTCTGACCACCACCCCTCTGCTTCGCTGCCCGGATGGAATGCACTAACTAAAACGGTTAATTCCTAGCTTGAAAACTTCTGCTGACTTCTAGCACCTCCCGTCTCCAACTAAGCCCCTGTTCCTGCGTCTGGCCTCACACCACACGGCATTCTCATCCTGCTCCTCACCCTCCCCTGACATCCCTCTTCTTGGAATTCTCTTCTGACTCTTTCCTTAAAGTCCACCTCAAAGGTCACCTGCTCTGGGGGACATCTCTGTATGTGATGGTAGGTCCCCCACTCCTCCGGTTCCAGCCACTCCCAATCCACGCACTTGGTGAAGCACCTGTCCCAGTGCACTGTAGACGCCCGTCTGCCGTGCTGGATGTGGGCTCCAGAGGAGGCTCGGAATTTATCCAGTTAGGTTTCTGGTCCCAGCAGGGCCTGGCACACAGTAGGTCTTGACATGGTGTTTAGGGCACTTGGCACATAGCAGGCTGGCTTCTTCTGTGTAGTGCATTGACTGAGGGCCCCTGTTCTCTGCCAGAGCAAACACTCATCAGCCTGCCCAAGTGGGTGGCAGCAGCCGGGGCTGTTTCCGGCACTGCCTTTACCCTGCTGTCCACCCACTCTGGCCCCAGCTTCTTGGTGGTATTCCAGAGTGAGGGATCCCAGGGGAGGAATGAGATCATGCACAGCGAGGGCTTAGCGATCCTCAGAGAAAGGCGCCTCTATAAACACAGCCGTGATTAACCCTGTTGGAACCCATTCAGTGTTTTAATTGCCCCACCAACGGCCTGGACTGAGCACCCACAGCTGGGTTCCCAGGGTTGGGAGTTGGCAAGGCCAGGTGGGGCCAAGAGGGGCCAAGGTGGGGTGGGCGTCCCCTCCCTTGTGAGGTGCACAACCGTCGTGGCCTGTGGGGCCCACGATTGTGCTGACCTTCCCAGCCTCTCTGCGACCTTCTTGTCACGCAGGCCTGGAGGTGCTCTGGCTACAGCTCAGTCCCCAGAGACACCATGTGTCTGTCTCCTGTCCTTCACCTTAACTTCCTAAGGGCAGAAAAATTGTCCTTAAGGTTAACTTCCCGAGACCTATACTTCAACCCACACATGAGCTCACAGGGAGCCCAGTTCTACTGGCAGGAGCAGTGCCAGGTGACGGGACACCCAGCCTGCCTTCTTGGAGCTCAGAACCGGTGGGGAGATGAAGCACACCAAGAGAAACCAGGACATCAGCCAGGCCTGTGAGCGGTAGGGGGCTGAATGGGGAAGGGCACTGCAGCCAGGGGTAGGGGGTAGTTTAGGTGCATGAAGGCCACAGATCTAAGCTACAAAGGCAGAGCTGGGGAGTTAGCAGTGGGTAGAAGAGAAAGACGTGCAGGTAGGAGGACCAAATGGGGGTGCGAAGGGGCAAGGGTGCTGGTGGCTTAGTCCTTTCTTGCTCCTGGGCTTAGAACACAAAAGCCTTCCAGAACAGGGCCCCATTGCAATCAGCAGCTAGCTGAGCATGGAGTTCTTAAAGCACTTGTTCACTTCAGGCTTGAGGGGGGATCCATGGGATCAGCCCCTTAGGGAAAAGGGAGATTAACACCTCCCCCCAGAACAGCAGTGAGCCCAGGAGAGGTCCCTGACTCAGCTGCTTAGTGGAGACAGGTGGAAACTGGGGAGGCTGGTGGTCAAACTGAGGTATTTTTTAAAAATATATATTTTTATTGATTTCAGAGAGGGCGATAGAAACATCAATAAGAGAGAATCGTTGATTAGCTGCCTCCTGCACACCCCCTACTGGGGATCGAGCCCACAACCTGGTCATGATGGTCAACTACTGAGCCACACTGGCCGGGCCAAAGTGGGGTCTTTAACCCACACCCCCTCATCCATGAGTTGAGAGAATCATCCTTTCTTCCCTTTTTTTCCAGGAAAAGAAAACAAAGTTGGCAACTTGGTACCATTAGACCTTTTACACCGCACCCATGTTCCTTGTGCAACTCTGGTCTAAAAGGTGGTATAGAGAAGCTACAGTGACCAAGAGTTGCTTGACAAAATATAGTAGTATTAGGTTATAACCCAAAGCATAGAATAAATACCCATGAGTCCATACTGATATAAATGAATGAATAAAAAATGAGGGATAGGTCATTTCAAAAAGAGCTTATGGGACCCAAACCAGGAACTCTTAACGCTGTGACCTAAGATTTAAGTTCTCCACAGGATGTAACAGACACTCAATAGTGCTATGTTTTCCTGAGGAGATATAAAATTTAGCTGCTCATATCAATGATTACTGATGCGGGAAAATAAATGTTTTCCAAGTTTAAAAGAAAAAGGGAGAATAGGCCAATCACCCATGCAGAAGAATTCCAAATAATCTATATGAATACTCTTCCCTTAAGGAGGAAAAGTATGAGTCCTCATGCCTTGTGTGTGGACTGCACACTGACTTCCTTCCAAAGAGGACAGTATGGAGAGGGAGAAGGAAGCAGGGTAACTTTACACCCTATAACATGCCTGAGCCGCTCTCCTCAAAGCTGTCAAGGCCATAAAACAAGGAAAGTCTAAGACAGCCACAGCCAAGAAGAGCCTAGAGCAGGGGTAGGGAACCTTTCTTCTGCCGAGGGCCACTTGGATATTTATAACATCATTCCTGGGCCATACAGAATTATCAACTTAAAAATTAGCCTGCTATGTTTGGTCAAACATTTAATTAACTCACCCCTAATGCCTTGGCAGGGCCAGACCAAAGGATTTCGAGGGCCTCAGGGCCAGACGTTCCCCACCCTGGGCCTAAAGAGACATGATGACTAAATGTAATGTGGGAACCTGGAACAGAGACAGGACATCAGGAGAAAATGGAGTAAATCTGAATAACGTATGGACTTCAGTTAATAATGATGTATCAGTACTGGTTCTTTGGGACAAAGCTACCATACTAATATCTGATGATAATAAGACGAGAAACTGGGTGTGGGGTATTATGGGAACTCCCTGTCATATCTTTGCAATGATTCTATAAATCTAAAACTGTCCAAAAGAAAAAGTTTATTAAAAAAAAAGAGAAAACGAGTAGCCTAGCTCTGCTTGGTCAAAGCACCACTGGCAGAGTGAACAGGGCAAGGAGCAGTGAGGATGGAAAGGAGAGAGGCAGGTGAAACAGGCAGCTGCTTTATTTCAGAACAAGATACCATAGCCACGCCCCTTGCCCCGCACCTGTGAACCTTGGCCACAGGTAAGCTGGGCGGCTACAGGCCTCCAGAGACAAAGCAGAGGGAAGTCTGAGTGTGCTCCTTCCCTGTCCACAGGGACAGAGCGCCACGGCTGTGGTGGGGCTCCTCCCAGCTCCTCAGCTGTACAGGGACTAAGGAGTAAAGGGACCAACCAGATCCAACGTCCTGCAAAGTCAAGATGAGGTGGGAGGGCGACACACCTTCCCTGTTGGCAGGAGCACAACGATGCGCCCAGGGCTTGGCAGACGGCAGGGCAGGAAAGCCAGTCTTGGGCCGGGTTCTGGGATGCCCACGAAGACCCAAAGTGACGACAGTGCAGATTCCAAGGGACAAGGGTGTTCTCGGGGAAGGCATCCAGGTGGGAGCAACCGCAGAAGTCCCGAGCTTTGCCAATCTCCGATCATGCTGGTCTTCCTCTCCCTTGGGCATGATCAGACACCAGAGCCGTGCCTGATGCTCAGAGGCCGCCTGCTCATGGCGGGTGCCCTGCCTTCGGGCAGTCCCAGGTACCAGTTCCACAGAAGAAGTCCTCAGGGAGCTCACTCAGGAGTCCGTCCAGGTCATCTGCAGGGGGATGCAGAGGATGGGAAGATGGACAAGTCCAAGGTTCTTGCCATTTAGGAGGGCCCGGACCTGGCAGCACAGTTAGGAGGTGGTTCTCCCTGGGCAGTGGTGTCTGGGCCAGTAGGCCTAGGGCTGACCTGACCTCCATCTTCCCTCTGTTCCCCACATACTCACAAATGACAAGAGGCAGGAGCCCATCCTGCTGAGAAAAAGGCTCCCCTTGGGCCTCAGTGATTCCTTTTTTTTTTTTTAACATATATTTTATTGATTTTTTACAGAGAGGAAGGGAGAGGGATAGAGAGTTAGAAACATTGATGAGAGAGAAGCATCGATCAGCTGCCTCCTGCACACTCCTTACTGGGGATGTGCCCGCAACCCAGGTACATGCCCTTGACCGGAATCGAACCTGGGACCCTTCAGTCCGCAGGCCGACGCTCTATCCACTGAGCCAAACCAGTTAGGGCTTCTACAGGCAACCTCCTCACTCTTATTCCATGACCCCAGAAACCTTCTGATGATGGTTTGGTCTGTCATCAAGCTTACTTACAAGGATAGAGTGCAAGTTTCCAGAGAAGTTTCCAGTATAAGGAATACTTTTTCATAGGCTATAAATAAATGGGCTTTGTGGTTTATCCATTGGTCTACTGTGAATTTGGTGAATGTGGCGATACCTACCCAGAATCCCATGAACTCCAGGGACAGACAGCGTTAAATTTATGGAATGAAAAAGCGAAGGACCAGATCTGGACTGTGCTGGCTTCACCTGGGTGATGCTGCCGCCAAAGGAGCAAGCTGGGCTCCCACTAAGACATCTGTGTTTGGACCTCTCAGATCTGTATCCTGGTTCCACCCTAACCACATGGATGTCTGACTCCTCAGCACTGCCCGGAAAGCCTCTAAGCTTAGTCAGAGTGGGGAAACCTGCCTCTGTGGTCTGGCACAAGGATGGTGTCAGCCCACCTCCTCCTTGTGGCTAATAGTACGTGGCCTGGGAACGGGGGGTGACCAGTGGGTAACACTCCACTTGCTCTGTGTGGCCCCTATCACACTTTTAATTATTTTGTGGCCTCCAGGTTTGCCAGAGAAGGCACCACATCTGATTTCTGTAAGATTCCATAAGATCCAAAGATTAATGGGAGGAACAAGATGCAGCCAGAAGAATTTGGTAAGCAATTCAAGAGGAATAGGAGAATTTCTTCTGTTCCCGGGGGGGCTGCTTGTCTTACCTGCTTCCGGGGGTACTTCTTGCGGGAATGCCCCTGCCTCTGGGTTCTGTGCTGCTCTGAGGTCTTTCCCAGGCTTTGCAGTCTCATGCTGAAGGCTGCCATGGAAGCTGCCTGGCTCCTGGGGACACAGGGTCTGGTTACCAATGCCCGAGCCCCTGAAACCCCCCTGGTTAGTACTATCTGCACCCAGACAACCTCAAAGGAATAGGTGGGGCTTAGGAAAGATGGGACAAAGGACTGTGACAGGGGTCAGTCACCCATGCCCATTCTGAAACACCAGACATCCAAAGCAGCAGATAATTAAAGACACAAAACAGAAACAAAAAACCTTTCTGGCTGATTTTCTTTCCTAATTCTATTTTTTTTAATAGTCAATAAAATTTAATATGGCCTCATGCGCCCTGAACCTAATTCTATTTTTATCTGATATTTTAGGGAATCTATATAACTGGAGCAGAAAGTAAAGGGGTCATTCAGAAATATGTTGAGGAGTTAGCCTGGGATTAAGAATTAGCTGTTAATCCCCAAACTAGCTAATATATGGATAGGTAATTAAAATTTGTAACTAAATCATTAACCATGGTTAGCTCTGGGGAATGGGAGTGGAGAGGTTAAATTTCATGTTTTGCTTTATTCTGTACCATTTCAATTTTTTTCAATGAGTATTGATGACTTTAAATTTAAAAGAAAAATAAAGATTTTTTTGGAGCGAGGTGGAAGGTTAAATAGAAAGATGAGGGAAATGGAAGTTGCAAGTTAGAACTAAGGGTGTAACTTGTCTAAAAGCCACTGATTCTAACCCACTCGTTTTATAGATGAAGCAACAGCAGGGGAGAAGCTAGGACTTGCCAAGGTCACATTACAAATTGCCAGCAGAGTGGGGACATGACCCAGGTCTCCTGACCCTGGGCCAGGCCGTGACACCAGCCCAGGATCCCAGGAAGGGTGGGAGTGGCCACAGAGGAGACGCTGTGCCAAGTCAAGGCCGGGCTCTGTTCACACCCTGGAGTAGAGTCGTCTGGAAGCTCAGTCTCCCTCAGTTCCCAAAGGGGTGTCCCCACCTGAGTTCTGTGTGGGTATCCCCACACTTAGCAAAGGGAAGATGCAGAGCAAGTGCTGGCTCACCGGACAGGCCACTTGTAGCTCACTGTTCTCTGCACTGCCACCTGCAGTAGATCTGACCCTCAGTCACTTACTGAGGCCACCCTACCCCTCCCGTCATGGACCCTCAACTTGTCAGTTCTCAAGTGACTCCGGCCTCTCCAATGTTCAAGTCTCTCAGGGATCACTAAGAAGCCAGCTATTCTTCTAGGTCCTGTTACTGTGCCATCTGGCAGGCAGCTGGATCAGGGACGGGAAGAGATGGCCCTGTCCCCAAAGGCATCTCTTCAGCTCAGGGTGGAGGGGAAGAAATCAGAAGACCCAGGCAGAAAGTGGCTCTACCAGTCCCCATTCCATCCCGCTCTTCTTACCTTGGGGAAGGGCTGAGATGACCTGAGGAAGTTGCCATCCCCAGAATCTGGGCTGTAAATATGGACCAGGTTGTTGGGCGTCACATTGAGGTAGTGGTTTCGGAGCGAAGGAGAAAACACTCCAATCTGGAGTCAAGGAAGAGGAAGGTCAGTGCCCTGATGAAGCACTAGATGCTGCCAGATGGCCACCTGGTCCCCACTTGTTTCTCCCTTCTTAGTCTTTGCATGAAGATCACACAAATCATCCTGCCCCAGCCCTGATGTCAGAGTAGAACCACTTACCACACCCTCCTCCCCCAACAGCACAAACCCCATCCCATCCACCCCCAAAGAATGGGGTTGTGTCTTTACTCAGCTCCAGTAAGCCAGGGTCAGCACCAGTCCAGTAACTCCTTGCCTAGGTACTGGGAGGGAAGAGAGCCACACAGACAGCTCGGGGGCCTCCTGCAGGGCAGGAGGGGTGGCGAACAGCTCCCATACCTGCTTTAGCAGCAGCACCGAGCCAGGCTTCAGCTCATTCTGGCGGGTCTCAAGCAGCAGCCTATGCACCGTGCCCTGCATCTCTCCTGCAAAGGCATGGCCCATCAGTCTCAGGGTCAAGGGCAGCACAGAGACTGGTTGGGCCCTGGCTGGGAAGTGGGCTGCTCACTACTTCAATGTTCTCATCTACAAATGGAGACACTCCCGGGACCTAACTCCTCACCCGTGGGGTCCTTGAACACCGCACTGGCGTCCATCGTGCTCCGAGTCAGGGACTTGATCATCACTGCCATGTTGGGGACCTTGTTCCTGGGAAGCTGCTTCAGGGCTGCCTGGTTGCAAGGAGAGGTATTTGCTGAGCCAGCCACGTCCCAGTTGTAAGATTCCCAAGTGTGCCAGGGCAAACTGGAGGGTGGCGGGGGGAGGGGACAGAATACAGGTGTGGTGATGATCTTCCCTTGTGGAGGGCAAAGCAGCAGTTTAAAGGGCTCATTTCATCTCCCTCTGGCATGTTAGGCCACAGGCAAGGATATGTTAGCACATGTACTAACATGTGTCTGCATGTGACCCTTGACCTCTGGGGAGCAGTGTGCTTACTCCCCCCATCCAGGGCCTGACTGTGCAGAGACATGCCCCTAATGCACTCTCTCCTTCTGCCTGTGCCCAATACTGTGATAACAGTGGGAAGGTAGGTGAATGAAAGACAACAACTGAAGGGACTTCATGCTGCCATTCAGAAAAAGGCCTGGTAGGAGGGCGCAAACAGAAGCCCCTTCGTAAGGTGGAACAGGGCAGGTTGGTGAAAAAGACAAACAGGTCTTCCTTTTGGTCTCAGCACCCAGGACCTTACCTTCCGCAGCACCATGACGATGCTGTAGGTACAGAGGAAGCAGGTGGGGTCTCTCTCATCCAGGCCCAGAGCAGATTTCATGGTGAGCCAGGGCCCTCGCCCGAAATCCTCTTCCACGGATGTCTGGGAACTAGTAACAATCTGCCACCATAAAGCAGAGGGGGAGCCTGCATGAATGGGTCCACCTTGCTACAGACCTCAGTTGAGACAGGATGGAGGGGGGAAGAGAAAGGGCAAGTTCCCTGTAGCGTGGTGGCCACAGTGTCTTCTTTTGTCTATCTCTAAGGTCAGATAATGGTATGTGAAATCTTGTATATCACAATAATATCATACTTAGAAGCAATAGCAGAGGCACTCTTTCTTTTCTTTTATATTAAATCAGATCCTGACTTTAATTATATTGAAGCAAAAGGCTATCCATGTTTGTCTCTTGTATCAGACTGGAAAAGTCTCAGGGCTAGAGAACCCCCACATACATTTATAGGCTTGCAGAGTGCCTCAGCATTCTGAAACCCGTCATATTTTATTTGGGATGCCTCTGGCTTTAACAATTAGCCTTCTTAATAAAAAAATGCTTTGATTCAGATGCGTATTTACTGCTTTGGATCTGAAATGGGCTGGTTGATCTGTGGAGCTGCAGTAAAGAGAAAAACTACCATAGAGAATGAGAAGCAAAGTAAGTCTGAGGGCAGAGCAGGTCAACCAAAATGCTAGGAAGGAGGGAGGCTGAGTCTCACCTACCAAAGGCAAGATGAAGGCAGATCCCTCTCAGCTTAATTCTCAGAAACCTGAGAAGTGTTCCTGAGATACAATTTCCTAATATTTACTCATGCTTCTCCCGAGAAAAGATGGCGTGAGCTGGCCTTTCTTCGTAGATGGGGAAAGCTGGCTCATGGCATCGGTTCTCACCCGGTTGGCATCAGGACAGGCTTCACTATGCCAGTAAAATTGCCACCTCCCCAAACTGCCTTTCCCAACTCCCCTTCCGTGTGTGACCCCAGGGGAAGGCCTCGCAGCATCAACTCTGATTCTCAACTCCTGAAAGATGCAGGGATGTCCCTCACCCTTAAATGATGCCCCAGAAGTTAACATTTGCACAGAATTAGTTACCTCTGTCCGGAATTTAGCCAGAGCACCATGAGTCGGAGTCTGGGGCGTGGAAACCATGATCTCCTCCAGATTTTTCCCACTGAACTGCACGGGGAGAGAGGAGGTGAGAGCAAGCTCAGCAGCTGTTCTTTACAAGCGGAGCTTCCTGTCTGGGTTACATAATGAGTTCAGGAAACTATCAGGGACAATTAACACATATTACGTCTCTCCTAACAAAGTCTCAGGAGCCTCACTGGCAGCTCAGAAAAGACGCTTTGGGGATAGTTTTGGGAATGTGAGGAAGATGGAGCTGGCCCAGGAGCAAAACCCAGAGCTTCCTGGAGGGGGCGAGGACCTGAATAGAGAGGCCAGTGATATGCAAAAGGACAGCTTTCCCCAACTCCCTTCTCAGGGACCTAATCCTTCCCTGCAGATTTCCCGCCCAGGAGGAATGCATATGGCCTCCTTGGATTTCTCTTAAAGTGCTAGGAAAGAGAAACTAACAGGTAGGAACTGTTTCCAACACCTTTAAAATGACAGGAAAGGGGTGCGCCTACCATGACCAGACCAGATCCTCGGAGTCCAATGGTCTAGGATCTGATTCAAGACTAGTTTGAGGGGTCCTGTCCCCCCACCACTGCTGATCCAAACTCTCAGCACAGCCCCAGCTTCCGCACGTGGATCCCACACGCCAGGCACAGTGACTGTTCCATGGCTCCCTGAGAGCATCCTGCTCTCATGCCTCCTGTCTTCCCACTGAAATGTCCCCGAGCCCAGCCTTCTGACACACACCCGTTAACCTGCTTGTCCATCCAAAGCCCACTCAGAAGGCCCAAGGAACCCAGTCTCTCTTAGTACCCAGAGAATGACCTCTACTCACACTGTGCATTTTATGTATAATTGTTTGTTTGCATTTTTTTCTTCTCCTAGAAGAAGCTCTGCAGGACAGGAACCATTTCTATTTTAATCTGCATTCTGAGTTCCAAGCAAATTGCCCAACTTAGCAAATGTAAGTGAGGGAATATTCCTTTCTCAGTGCTAGCAAACAGCAGTTACTCAACAAACATGAAAACTGTGAAGTTCTCACCCAGCTGCCGTGGCTCAGTGGCCGACCTATGAACCAGGAGGTCACAGTTCAATTCCAGGTCAGGGCATATGCGGGGTTGTGGGCTCGATCCCTAGTGTAGTGTGGAGCATGCAGGAGGCAATCAATGATTCTCTCTCACCATTGATATTTCTATCTCTCCCTCTCCCTTCCTCTCGGAAATTAATAAAAATATTTTTAAAAAGAAAATTGTGAAGTTCTCAGAGCCTTAAGCACCCTTATCATGTGTGGTTTTTCAAGCATTCAATTCTTCCTTCCCACTTCTTTTGATTCTGCCACAGATTTGAAGCTCCCCCCCCTTCCTTCCTTCCTTCCCTCCCCCAGGAGTGAAGATATTCTGAGACTGGACAGTGCTGCAACTCTGCTTCTCTCCTTTGCTCTCCTTCCCCCCAACATCCTGGATGGCTCTGGCTTCTGCCAGAGAGAAGCTGTCACTCACTTGGTGAGGCAGGATCCCTGCTGGGCCAGGGAAGCGGCGTGTTTTGGCTCGGGTGGTAGTGCGCGTGGGCTGCTGGGGTGTCCGGTTGGCTGCAGTGACCAGCTGTACCAGGTGGTTGGTGACTATGGGTGTCTGCAGAGCTGCTTGGGGACCCTTGGGGGTGCTGACAGGAGACTCAATTGAAGACAGTGGAGCTCGGGGTTGTAAGGGCCCCCGAGGGAAAAATCCAGAGCCAGTCCTTGAGAGAGTAGAACAGCTTGAGTTGGGAGTTCGTAGAAAATTAGGTTTGCCACTTAAGTGGGCATTTGGAGATTGGAATGGCTGACTGGGGACACGATTTTGAGGGCTGCTCTGAACAGGCCTCCCAGTAGCTTGGAGAGGCTGGGGTCCTCGAACTGGGGAAGCTTTGGGGCAGACTTCCCAGTGGGTTTGCTGAGCAGGAAGTGTCGAGGCAGTTGGGGTAGGCAGGTTGCCCATGGCACCCGTCCTCAAGTGGGGCTGTGGAGTCCTACAGTAGACGGCAGGATCTGGAGGCTGACCCTGGGCTGATGTGATACCAGTTATGTGGGTGGCAGGCATGGGGCCCTTTTGGCAAGATCTACTCAGAGCAGCTACCCGAGCCTTTTTAGTCAATATTGAGTCTTCCTGCTGCCCAGTGGGCAGGATTCCTGTTGCCTCACTGTTAACTCCAAGTTCCAGCTCCATGCCAGGCCCTTCCAGTTCCATGCTTGCCAGGACCTTATCAAATTCATCTTGCTCAGGTCCCTCAAAGCCACCAATCACCGGCTGCTTGCTCTCAAAGGTAAGGGGGTGGGAGGCTGAGGACTGTGGTCTTGCTGGTTCTTTGAGCACTTCTGTCAGTGTCACTCTTCTCTGACTGCCAGTCCAGTTGCTGGAAGTGGAGACAGGCCTTAGGAGGGCTGTTCCTGTGGAAGCGGCACCCCTGCCGGAGGTAGGAAGGCGGAGTCCCAGGGCTGGTAGGTCCAGAGGCTCTGAGGAAGCAGTGGGGCATGAGGGCAGCTGCCCAGAACACCGTGCCTGCACAGTGTCCTGTGGCCTGGAAGAGGCAGGTCGGAGGCACCCAGCATTCACAGGCCCTGAGCCAGCAAATTGGTTCTCTGCGTCTTCCACAGCAGACAGGAAATCCTACAAAGAAGCAGAGACAGTGAGAAATCAAGAAACGCTCTGCTTTTACTGCTAAGGCACGTGGTGTGTATATATGTGCAGCTACACAAAAGCAAGAACCCAAAGCATGAAAGGCAATGGTGGAGTCTCTCACCACGCTTGATCTTGCCCTTGAGCCCACTACCTCCAGGCTTCTACCAGAAACATTCACAGGCTAAGTCTTCAAGTAGCTTTAGTCAATCTTGAGTGGGCGTTGGGAAGTGGGGGGTGGGCAGTGGTGGCAGTTGGGGGAGCAGCAGAAGTAAATATACTAGGGCACCAACGAGTCAAACAAATCCCCCAAGGTCACAAGGAGTCTAGCTTTCTGCTATCCAGCCTGTGAAATAGGGATCTGTCCAGCTGGTCATGCTGCTTGTCCTTACCCCACCGCGCGCGCGCGCGCGCGCACACACACACACACACACACACACACACACACACACGGCCTAATAGGCAGCAGGTAAATATAGCTTTACAGGCAAGTTAAATTAAGTATGGGTTCCAGTTGGGAAGCAAGGTCCAGTTGGGAAGCAAGGTGAGATTGACATCTTCAAGAGCAACAGACCTGTTCCGAGGGTGTTTTTGAGTCAGAACTGCTGATTGCCGCCCCCACCCCCTGCTGCCACACTGGATTGTCTGGGCTAGAGATAGGTTTTTTCCTGCTTTGTGTATTAGCATACTCCAACACCACTACCTTAGGGTTTAACAATAATATTAATAACATTAGAATTATTGTAGCAGTAAAATACTGATGACCTTGGAGGTTGATGGATCTCTTTTCCCAGGAAGACCTCACTTTCAGATGTGATGTTATCTGCCTTGGGAAGGGGAAAAGGATCTGGTCATGGATCAGAAACTTGAGTTGTCAGAGTTCTTCACTCTTAATTTCACTACCGGCTTAGGAGCCCTACCATCACCCGGTAAGACTCAAAAGGGTCAATTTAACAGTCACCTTTTCTGTAATCACACATCTCTAAAGCTAAAAGACAAAGACAAGGACGCATCTTCTTGACAAAGCTGGAAATTTTGAATTATTTGTAAAAATAACAGTCAAGTCCCCAAGTGATAATAAAAATATCTAACATTTGAAACCTCACTAGGTGTCAGGTACCATGTAAATATTTTACCAGAAGTTTTTCAATGAATTCTCACATTGGCCCTATGAATAGGTACTGTTATTAGTCCTGGTTTTTGGAAGCAGAAACTAAGACTTAGAGAGGTTAAGTAACTTCACAGAACCACAACTAGAACCTATATGTGCCCTTGTCACTATGTCATAGGGCCTCAATGAATGATCTTTTTTAAAATTGTGTGTGTGTGCCGAAACCGGTTTGGCTCATCGATTGGTTGCCTCCTATACACCCCCAACTGGGGATCTAGCCCAAAACCCAGACATGTGCCCTGAGCAGGAATTGAACCGGTGACCTCTTGGTGCATGAGAAGGCTCAATCCACTAAGCCACACTAGCCAGGCTGGACTCTCTATCCCTCTCTCTTCCTCTCTGTAAAAAATCAATAAAATATATTTAAAAAAAAAAAAATAAAAAAAAAATAAAATTGTGTGTGTGTTTTTAAGAGAGATAGAAACATCGATTGGTTGCCTCCTATACACCCCCAACTGGGGATCTAGCCCAAAACCCAGACATGTGCCCTGAGCAGGAATTGAACCGGTGACCTCTTGGTGCATGAGAAGGCTCAATCCACTAAGCCACACTAGCCAGGCTGGACTGATTTTGAAGAGGTCTGACAAAGATTATTTTCCCCCTTCGAACCTCATGGTCCAAAAGCCTCCGAGGAATGCGAGTATGGTGTTGGGCTGCCAGAAAGGTCCCTGATGCAGCATTCACTATCGTACTCAGCACAAACTTGACATCTGGACAAATTCTAAATGTGATTTTTAAAGCAAAGCGCTGGGACACAAAAAGTAGGTTTGAATGGCTTGTCATTAATAAAATAGAATAATTTTATTCTATAAACGTAGTTTAGTCATTTCCATGTATGTTAAGACTCGAGTCAGGGGCCAAGACCTCATCCTGGCTGTTGGTGCTTTATTCTTAAGCAGGTTAATTTACCTTTCTGGGCTTTACTCACTTAAGTCCTACTTCTCTGTGAAAAGGATTTGAGATAGAAATTTTAGGCCTCCCAAATGAAACTATATCCTTTGGCTCTGAGTGGGAAGAGAGCTATGGAGGTCACTAGTTCAGTAGTCTCTGGCTGCAACCGGAGGTTAGAAATACCCCTGCCTGGGTCCATCCCAGAAAATTCTGATTTAATTGGTGTGTAACAGGGCCCCCACAGGGGTGATTCTAATGTGCCGGCTTCAGATCTAGTCTAATCCCTATCTTCTGAGGAGAGAGGGATGGAAAGAACATGTGAGGCAGACTGCCTCGCATGCTGCAGAAGAGAAAATGGAAGGCCAGAGAATGAAGGCCGGTTGGTGACACCAGGCCTCCTGCCGTCCAATAGCTGTGCTGTGTCTGGCTCTTCCATCAACTTTCTTCCCACTTCAAGCATGTCGTCAAGAAGATGAACCAGCCCTGGCCATATGACTCAGTTGGTTGGAGCGTTGTTTTGTGCACCGAAGGTTTGCGGGTTTGATTCCCAGTCAGGGCACATACCCAGGTTTCGGGTTTAATTGTCAGTCCAGGAGTAAATGGGAGGCAACTGATTGATGTTCCTCCCTCACATCAATGTTTCTCTCTCTCTCTTCCTCTCCCTTCCTCTTTCTCTAAAATCAACAGAAAAGCATGTCCTTTGGAGAGGATTGAAAAAGAAAAAACAAAGAAGGGGAGTCAAATCATCTACAGACACAGCTTCCAGGCAGGGGCCCTTATAATTTACAGGTATGACCATCAGAGAGCTCACCTCTCTGGCTTTTTCTTTCTAAGACAGTTAAATAAGTTGTTTACATTTCGCATTATTCCCCAGTCTTTCACAGACAAAAATCAATGTATGTATCAAGTAAAAGGAGATGGGGGCAGGTTGTTTCAAAATGTTCTGAGCCTGGTGTTTACATCTTTTTATTAATTTATCTTTATTGTTGAAAGTATTACATATGTCCCTGGGTATTTACATCTTAAGACCTCCTCTGTTCACCAACATTTCCTTACCTCGTCTTCAAACTCCTCTTCCACAGCAAACAGCTTCTGCAAACCGCATGCCTGAAAGGAAAACAAAGCAATTGAGGTTGGAGGAGAAATGCCATTTGCAAGTACATTCTGTCCTCACTCTGCTTCTTCCCAATTCTAACAAGACCATCAGGTGTACTGTTTTTGGTTTGTTTGTTTTGCTAGTGTTGGGGGAGGAATAAGGGATGAGAAGAGATGGGATTTACTTGGAGACTTAGATGATTTCAAATCCTCTCTCCATAAAACAACCCACTCGGGTCCATCTGCATTAATCTTGGAAGGGGAAGAGGCAAAGGAAAGGCTGCCAAAGGAAGCATGGGTCGTGCTTTAGACTCAGCACTGCACACATGGGCCTGAGGATTTTGCAACATCCCAAAGGTCTGGCCTGAGCAACCTTTGTCACACATAAGACACAACCGTAAATCCAAACATGCCTAGCAGAGGGACCTTTTTGTCTGAAAGCCAAGCCAGTGTTTCCTTCTATCTGATCCCATGTCCAAAGGCCAGGGTCCCAGGAAGGTGGGATGCCCCAGGCCACAGTTCCTGCTTTCTAGGCAGCAGGGCTGCAGCGGCTGGCTCTGCGATGTGTGTCAAACTCAGAGCCAAGGGCTGTGCCTGCCCCCAAGGGTCCAAGGATCAGAGGGGACGGGTTGGGGGAAGAGGGTCAGGCTCATGAGGCGCGACATTTGAGCGCATCGGGAAGGATGAGCAGGAAGAAGAAGAAGAGCTGGAAGGCCACGGGAGGGAAACTGAGGCCCAGAGGGCGGCGGGTGCAGAGAGCGCCTTCCCAGGGTCTCCGGGCGCGTCCATGCCCAACCCAGGCTTCCCGACCTCACCTAGTTCTCACCCAAACCCTAAACCGGCCCTGCAGCTCGCCCAGTGGAGGGGCTGGAGCCTGAAGGGCAGCTGTTGGGCCCCGGACCCAGAGCCCCGAGGCACGGCATTACCATGGCGACGGCGGGTGCGCTTCCGCCAAAGGGTTAGCCGGACAGGCCCCAATTCAGTGGTCGCCGGGGCCTCGGGCGTGGCCCGGGGCTGGAGGGTCGGAGTCCGGGTGACAGTATCTCCGGGGCGAGATCGGAGAGGTCTCTGCGACCCGGGCCGGTGCCAAGACTGGGTCGCCGGGAAGGTGAGGGCCCGAGCCCTAGGTCGCATTCGAAGCCGCCGCCACTCCTGCGTCTCCGCCCTCTTAAAGGGGCGGGCCTATTTTATCCCGCCGACACAAAGGCCCTACATCCGCCAGTCTTCCGCCCCGGCCTTAAAGGGAAACGCATGGGCTCTCGGTCGCCCTCCAGCGGCCACTCGGGCTGGGTCGGCTGGTTCAATAAGCGTTCTGAGAGCAAGGTTGGCAATTTAGGCGCATTACGCCCAGTCCTGCCCACCCTCCTCTATTGTGTTAAGCACACTAGGGAGTGGGTACTTGAGCATGACTCATTCGCACCAGAAGCCACCCCGTTGGTTTGTCTGTTCATCTTTCCATCCATCTATCTATCTTGGCAACACATTTATTAAGTAAAGATGTTCTCGGTCTGGCTCTTTTCATCCTTGGGTGTTTCAGCTAAGGTCTCAGATCTTCCCTGGCATCTATTCTCTCCTGTAGCACCCCTCCCCCCCCCATCACTATTTTCTTCTCAGCACTTTTCATAATTTATAATTATCATGGTTTACATCTCTATTATGTGTATTTCTCACTAGAATATGAGGTCCCTGAAGGCAGGGACCTTGTCAGGCTTGTTCAAGTTTGTATCCCCAGCACTGAGCACAATACACAATAGAGTTATTGAATGACACAATGGCTACTATGTACTGAGCACCATGCTTGGTCCTGGGGATAGAGAAAAGAATGACTGCTTGTGCCCTCAAGTTCACACACAAGTCAGGGAGACCAGGAGATTTGGGCGGAGAGATGGACAGGGGCCTAGGGAGCTGGGAAGGCCAGCTTCTGTCACTAAAGCCTGCTGTGGTTAGCGACCCTTACTCCGACCTCAGTTTCTCTTATGTTTGTCATCGCAGGGCTGGTCAGAATGACAGCTAGGGCTGCACAGTTTTGAGGATTCAAAAGGCAGGAGGAAGGTCTCTGACTTGAGTTCTTAACCATCTGATCTGAGCCAGTCCTGAGTCTTGCCTAGGGTTGTCTGGCCTGGCCTCCCTCCGACAGCCTATGGCTTCTATCATAGCTTCAGTGGACCAGTTTTCTTGTCATGTGTCAGAATGGAGGCCAGGATGGCATTGGGAAAGGGAGCCTGGACTCCTAACTTTCATCCAAGATAGCAATCTTCTCAAGGCCTCTGTGCTTCTGAACTGGGGACAAAATCCCAACCCTCCCATGTACAGGCCTCCTCTCCTCACAGGAATCCCAGGTACAACTCACCGTGCACCACTGTGGACAGTCCCTGAGACCCAGTTCCAGGGCTCCCTGCGACTCTGACAGGTCGACAGGAGATCACAGAGCCCCAGAGGCCAAGAGGAAGAATGGAAACTCCTATCCACAGCATACTCTGCAGCTTCCAGTTTTAACCAATAGCTCAGTGTGTGGTCACAGACACCTGTACAGAGTGAGGGGCAGGTATTGCTTTAAAGATTAGGAAACTGAGGCCCAGAGTGGGGAGGGATTCTCTCAGGATCACACAGCCACTCAGTGGTATATCTTCTGGTTGGAAATCCTATGCTTTTTCCTCCATCACCTTTCTCAGTTAAATACATTTAGCATTGTTGCCCCCACTTCCTGTTAGAACCTAGAGGAGGATGGGGGCAGTGGCTGGAGCAAATGGAAAATGTGGACCTAGGACATTTGGGGGAGGGCCTGACAGGACACAATATGGAGGTTGCCTGTGGTTTCAAAATTGTTCAGATAGCTCAGTTGGTTAGAGCTTTGTCCTAATACCAAGGTTTCAGGTTCAGTCCTCAGTCAGGGCACATACAAGAGGCAACCAATGAATGCATAAATAAGAGGAACAACAAATGATGTTTCTCTCTCTCTCTCTCTCTCTCTCTCTCTCTCTCTCTGTCTCTGTCTCTCTCTCTCTCTTCCTCTCTCTCTCTCTCTCTCTCTCTCTCAAATCAGTTAACAAAAACATACAAAAATTTTTTTAAAAAAATTCTTCAGCTCTAGCCGGTTTGGCTCAGTGGATAGAGTGTTGGCCCACAGACCGAAGGGTCTCAGATTCGATTCCGGTCAAGGGCACGTACCTCGGTTGCAGGCTCGATTCCTGCCCCAGGGGGAGCATGTGTGGGAGGCAACTACTCGCTGTGTCTCTCACATTGCTGTTTCTCTCTGTGTGTCTCTCCCCCTCCCTTCCACTCTCTCTAAAAATCAATGGAAAAATATCCTCAAGTGAAGATTAACAAAAAATAAAAATCCTTCAATCCCTCCCTGTCACCAGAGGTGGCATATAAGATCCCCAGGGTCTACAATGCCCTGGCATCTGCTTCACTGCCCAATCTTGCCTTCAACCAACCTCCCAGCCACTATCAACCCCTCTTCACCCCACTTAGTTTTCACGCCCTAGGCCCCAGGCTGCCTCTGCTAAGAAGCCTTCCCTAACTGCCCCGGGCAGACCCAGGTTTCCTTCTCCTCGGTTCCCTGCACTTGGGGCCTGGCTCCAGGTTGGCTTGGTTTCTTGTATGCCCTGTGTTTTCTTCAGATTTCTTCACACCTCCTTGCTGGACCTCGAATCCCTAAGGGCAACCATGATGGCTTTTCATTTTGTGAACCACACTTGGCACAGGACCTGGCACATGCAAGACACTCAACAAGCATCTGTTGAATGACTTAGTGCCCTTTGTCAGGAGAGAGTGCGAATGAGCCTGGGCAACTCCACACTCACTTACACAAATGCCTGCGGTTGCTGGATGAGGAGCTTCACCTTCTTAGGCACAAAGGAGAGCAGGCCTGGTGTGTGTGTGTGGCCATTTTCATTGGCTTTGGAGCTAGACAAATCTTGGTTCATATTTGACCCTGTTGCTAACTGGCTGTGTAACTTTGAATAAGTTACTTTATCCCTCTGAACCTTAGTTGTCTCATGTATGAAAATGGAATAATACCTCTTCCTCACAGGATACCTCTTCCTCACAGGATTGCTATGCGATTAAATAAATTAAGGCACTGAAATGGCCAACTCCATGGCACGTTGGCAAGGGCTCAACAATGTGGGTTCCATCCCCCTACTTGAGTTTGCAAACTTGTGCTGAGATTTGTTATGGGAACCACATGCCTTGAGTTTGTATCTATTTCAGCATACTTGCCAATGCATTTTGTCCTCATTTGTATTTTTATCATATGTACAGTTGTGTGCCGGTCAGTGTGCTGATGGATGTCTTTATGTGTTTCTATTGACATTCACCTTGGTATGGGAAGTGGCATACACTGGCATGAGTACAAGAGTCTTGCACGGTTGTGTTGGTGGGTGATGCATGTTGAGTGAGTGTGTAAAATGTGTGTGGAATAAGATGTGTGTTGTGTGCTGCCTATGAGGGTGGGGATCTGAGTGTATGGAGGTGGGGAAGGGCTGGTGGCTTTGTGTGTATGAAGGCTGCATAGACCAGTGCGGTGGGGTAGAACTCTGTGTTTATGGAAATATTTTCTGTTTGCTCTGTTCAATAGAGCAGCCACGAGCCACATGGAACTATTTTTTTTAAATATATTTTATTGATTTTTTACAGAGAGGAAGGGAGAGGGATAGAGAGTTAGAAACATCGATGAGAGAGAAACATTGATCAGCTGCCTCCTGCACACTCCCTACTGGGGATGTGCCCACAACCAAGGTACATGCCCTTGACCGGAATCGAACCTGGGACCCTTGAGTCTGCAGGCGGATGCTCTATCCACTGAGCCAAACCGGCTAGGGCCCACATGGAACTATTGATCACTGGAAACGTGGCTAGAGCAACTGAAGAACAAAGTTTTAATTGTGTTTAATTTTAATTAATTTGAATGGAAATCGTCACAGGTAGACTCTCTAGACACAAACCTCAAACTTGTTCTCCACAGGCCAGTGGTGTGCATTCCGCTCCTCTTAACAGGGAAACCCATCTAACGTGTCCTGACCCCGCAGGTCAATGGACCCGCTGGAGCCCCGCCCGCGAACGCACGTGCGCGCGCGTGAGATGTACGGAGGGGGCCATCCGCCTCCCTCCTTCCCAA